TAACGATTGCAGATGCAACCGGTACCAACGGCTTAACGTGCCTTCCGAAGCACGGAGGAACTCGAGATAGAAATTTTTGGTCACCCATCCAATGACCGACCACTGCGAAAGTTGCTTAGCTACAAAGATCGCAGCCGAACGCGCTAACCACCTACGCCATCGAGATCCTCATTTATTAATTAAATATTTATTAATAATTAATATTTATTAATTTATTTATATTAAAATTATTAAATATTTAAATTTCGAACATAATTATGGATTGCAAAAAGACACAGCGCGGCCGCTGTAATTACTTCGACGTCTGCCATTGCCGAAACTCTGAAGCGAAGTGAGACTTGAGAGGTAGGGCAGTATGTAAACACATACTTCTCTCAATCATGCCGCAGCAATATTTAGGGAATTATTGCCGGCAACGCGAGGGGTAGCGGCATGGGCATAATCTAAACGAGGTATTATAATAACAACGTGTCTGAAATGACAGGTTGGACCAGCCGGCCGTCAAAGGGAACAATTTTGTCCTTTATCAAACACATTGAGGCGGGCTTTTTAAAAGCTAGAGTTACAAAAATTTTAACGATGTTTCCAAATTTTAAATTTAGGATTTATAAACAATAATTTGATCACAGTTTATTCTTATAATAAATTATTCAAAATTATTACTTTTACATAAATAATTAACTAACGAACAACAACTTTTATTCAGTTTACTTGCTGAAAGAAATAAATTGCTCAAAGCATATTCATACTTCTAAAAACTATTTACATTGTAAAAAAAAACGTTGTCAATTTCAACTATCGTCAATAAACTAACTTTACAGACAGCTGATTTTTTTGGTTTAGAGAATCAAGCCGGAATCGACACCATTGTTATTTACGTACTAGCTATTTCAACGAGTTGCATCACAAGAGAGTCCCTGTCTCGCTCTTATAAATTACTGGCCTAAAAATGTATAATTTAGGTGGACCATGGCCAGAGAGGTAATTTAATAGGGCAATAAAGAGGAAATAATTTTTAATTATTAAAAATGACCGCCTTTATTTCTACTCATCAATTAGGTGTTATCTTATTCTTCAATCGAGGTCATCGTCATGTATCAATATAATAAATATATAACTTACGTACCTCAATATTCTGTTTTAACTTGCTAATCTTAGTTAATACTCTTTCACACAAACACTACAATCTACATTTATCCATAACTACAATTAAATCATACTACTCCGATATGATACACACACACATCAACCTATGCAACTTAACCTATATACATGTGAGAGTAATCTACATAATAAGTTTATCAAGAGTCCGTAAAATATTATATGCAACCATCATCGTAAATTGTAATTCAGGTGGAGGGATTCAAAACATCCACACAATACATCATATTTTTGTCTTTTTTTCTGTTGTTTATGATCTTGTTTCATTTAAATTGTATTATTTGTTATACTTCTCGCAAAGGATAAATGGACTTAAATACTATTATATCTGACAACATCGACCAACTATCTCTGTCAACTAGTGTTGTATGCTCCCCAGAAAATACTGCCAATTTTATTTCCAAATCCAAAGACGTAAATTCGATCAATATTTTTCATTCTAATATAAGAAGTGTTGCACGTAATTTTGATGATTTAGTAACTCTTTTACATCGTATTGATGCTCGGGTAGATGTCTTAGTCTAGTCTTAGTAGTCTTATCTGAGTGTTGGCTAAGTAAGTGTCCTAATATTCCAGTCCTGCCGGGTTATACTTTCTGTGAATCACATTATGAAAGCCAAAATGATGGAGTGATAGTGTATGTCAGCGACAATTTCCCGCGTACCTTTGAAAAACCATCTTTCCTGGATGGGAATTGTTTAATCACCAAAGTTGGCAATGAATTAGCAATAGTATCCTTATATCGTTCCCCCTCTTATAGACGTGTTGAAAACTTCCTAAATAGTTTAGACTTAACGCTGAAATCTTTGCATAAATTTAAAAACATAGTGGTTTTGGGAGATGTAAATATTAATATTTCAACACAAAGTTCTGACCCATCATCAGATATGTATTTAGAGGTCTTGTCTTCTCATGGTTTACTACCTGCCCACACTTTGCCTACGAGATTGTCTAGCTGCCTTGATCATGTCATCATTAAAACCCAAAATCGTGCCTCGACATTACTTTTAGACGCGTATATTACGGATCATGCCCCTCTTCTGGTCAGCTGCGATATGAGCAGGTGCTTGAAAAATATCACCTTTCCACAAAAGGTAAAAAGGTTGTGCCTCGATTCATGTGTAAGTGACCTCGAATATCTCGATTTCTCAGATGTATTAAACTCTAATAATGCCGAGGACGCTGCGTCCAAACTGGTTGAAAAAGTTTCTTCAGTGGTTGTTAGGAATTCATCATTTGTCGTTATACCAAGTAGAAAAAGGATAATTAATCCCTGGATTACTCCAGGACTATTAAGATGCATTCGTCATCGCGATAGGCTTTGCCTTCGATCAAAAAAAGATCCAAAAAATAGTATTCTCAAGATATCATCTATTAGATACAGAAATTTTTGCAACAATATGTTAAAAAAAATTAAACGAGACTATGAATGTAATGAGTTTAAAAAAAACAGTAAGAACCCAAAAACTACTTGGAAGCTTATAAAGAATATTGCATATATTAACAATAGCCATTCATCATCTTGTGAACTTCTTTCTTTAAATAAAAACCCCACTGTAGCCGTAAACACCATTAATAAATATTTTGCAAGCATTGGAAAAAAATTGGCTTTACAGATCAATGGATCAACTGTTCATGATGTCCCTAACTGTCCCTCCAGAGTGATTACTCAACAAAACTCGATGGCGCTACTTGCAACTGATGACCATGAAATTGAGCAAATCATTCTTGGCCTCAAAAACAACTGTGTAGAGGGTTGGGATGGGATCTCTGCCAGTCTAGTTAAAGTTGCTAGACATGTACTGGTTCCTGTTCTTACTCACGTTTTCAATCTTTCTTTACACAATGGAGTGTTTCCCAAGGTATTCAAAAAAGCAGTCGTTCGCCCAATTTACAAAAGTGGAGACAAAGTTGATACTAGCAATTATAGACCCATATCCATACTGACTACCTTCTCCAAAATATTAGAGAAAATTCTTAATAAAAGGCTTCAACTATTTCTAGACAATTTGACTATCTTATCAAAAAATCAATATGGATTTAGGTCAGGTAAAAGTACCGAAGATGCAGTTTTAGAACTTACTGAATCAGTGATTAAAGGCTTCGAAAAAAAGTTTAAAACGCTAGGAATATTCCTCGACCTATCTAAAGCCTTTGATACGGTATCGATTCCTGTTCTTCTGCATAAACTTAACTTTATTGGTATAAGGGGGAAAACACTCCAGATTTTTGGCAGTTATTTAACAAATAGAACGCAGTGTGTTGTTGTCAATGGTTTTACGAGTGATGATGAGTTCATTGAGTTTGGTGTTCCACAGGGAAGTGTTTTGGGTCCCACATTATTCTTGATCTACATCAATGAGCTCTGCGAACTTTCGCTGTCGAACACCAAAATTATAACTTATGCTGATGACACAGCTTTACTGATTCAGGGTCGATCTTGGGTTGAAGTTGTGAAGTGTGCAGAATCAACTTTAAAGTCGGTTATGTTTTGGCTTACCAGAAATCTACTCACCCTAAATTTAAGCAAAACAAAAATCATTGCGTTTGGTCCAACAAAATCATCCCTACCATCTCAATCTATAGTTATTCAAGCACATACTTGCAACGCTAGCCCAAATACTCCAAAACAGTCGTGCTCCTGTATTAAAATTGAAATTACATCCTCAATTAAATATCTAGGAGTTATTTTAGATGAAACTCTATCTTGGAAGGAACACATATGTCTAGTTTCATCACGTGTTAGAAAGCTCGCATACGTATTTAAAATCTTAAGAGATGTGGTTGACTTTGCTACGTTAAAAGTCATATACTACTCTCTTGCCCAGTCATTAATTACTTATTGCTTGGGTGCATGGGGTGGATCTCCTGGAAGTGTTTTGCTGCGTTTAGAAAGAGCCCAGAGAGCGGTTCTAAAGGTTATGATGCAAAAGCCTTTTAGATATCCAACTGTCGAACTATATTCACTCACCGGTGTTTTGACTGTAAGGCAGATGTTTATTCTCAATGCTATTCTGTACACACATCGTCGCCTCCCATATGACCCAGAAACTGCCAGAAGTAAGCGTGGATGTGGTAGGGTTTGCAATATTAGTAGATGCAGGCTAACATTGTCTCGTCGCCACCTTTCAAACATTGCTCCTTTGTTATATAACCGGACCAGCAAAATCATTGACATATATCCACTTACCCTTTATAAGTGTAAGACGGTTGCTAGGCAGTGGTTGCATTCCCTTTCATATGATGAAACGGAGAGCTTACTCAAGGTCATCAAATAATACACGGATATACATGTGAAATCACATGTAACTATCATTTTAGTACAACCGGACACTCTCACTCTCATAAACATACACACATGCACATACATATACACACGCATATACAGACTCACACACACACACACATATATACAAACACACACACACACACACATACATAATTTTTATCTTTAAGTAAATGGTAAGATATGAACTGTAATTTTTATTTATGTATTATGGAACACACGTCTCTGTATCTGGAGGTGGGCGCTAATAGCTGTAACACAGTTCTAGAAACTAATATAGCTATTAACGAACCTAATTATACATGTAACCTTAATTAGTTCCAATAAATATATTTTCATATTTTCATATTTAAAAAACAAAGTCGTGTTACACTGTTTGTTCGCGCTCCTTTTAGTAACAAAAAGACCTTTACACAACTTACTATACTCGCTTGCAATAGTGTAGTATAGTCTGTACACACCTTTAGTTTCCTTTGCTTTCCTTATAATAAAGAAGAATAATAAAAAAGTTCATTAATCTTAGTAATCTGTGTCGTAAACCAATTGTCATTTTATGATGGCGGTGCTTGGGAGCTACGCGAGTTTTTCTCAATTTTAAACGAAACAGTTTTTCATTGTTTTGATAAATTATTAGTGAATTATTTTATATAAATTTGTTTTTTTATTTAGTTTAAAGTGTGCCGTCACTGTTATTTGTGTAATCATATTTGTTTTACAGTGTGTCTTGACGATATCAATATTGTGTTTTTGTGATACGAAAATATTTTGCTTATTGGAACCTTATAAGTGTGTGAATTAATGTTTCTAATGAAATAATAAGATTTATACATTAATCAATGCATTTGTAAACATATCACTTATGCATATATTTTTTATTTTCGAGTTACTAAATAGACCGCCAAAATGAATGATGTTCGTGATAAAGGAATTGCGGGATCTTCAAGTTGGGAAACTTCAACATCTCACAGTGACTCGTCTCCTGAAATCCAATCGTCGCCGGGAGGTAGTGCCGAAACGCCGCTGACCCCTGGAGCTCCTGTACCTCTTGCGCCCCACCTTGCTGCTGATTTACATCCTGATCTTTTACAGCAAGGTTGGCGAAAGTATTGGTCTAAGAGAGAGAACAGGCCATATTTTTGGAACAAACTCTCTGGTGAATCTATGTGGGAATTACCTGCAGTGAAAAGAGACTTTGATCCTATAACGGATCCACTTGGTATTTGCCACACGGGCCCTCCTGCTGGAAGTATGACACCTGGAGCCAGTAAAAGAAGACCTTCAGAGGATAATGGTCCTCCTCCTAAGAAATTTGTTTTAGCTGGGCCTTGGGATATAGAAGTTCCAACAAATGTTGTTATATATGAACGTCCTCCTACTATCTGTCCACATCCTCATCCAGAAATTGAAGGATTTAGATTCACTTTAGCAAATAAATTAAGACAGTGCTATCAAGAGCTTTGTCATACAAGAGAAAGTATTGATGCCCCTAAAGATTCTTTCAATAGATGGTTAATGGAAAGAAAAGTGAATGATCAAGGAGGCTCTGATCCACTATTGCCTAGTCATTGTTTCCCAGAAATATCAAGGTCCATGTATGAGGAAATCATGAATGATATACCGATAAAATTAACGCATCCAAAGTTTACAGGGGATGCTAGAAAACAGCTATCTCGCTATGCAGAGGCAGCAAAAAAAATGATAGAATCAAGAAATGCTTCTCCTGAGAGTCGAAAAGTAGTAAAATGGAATGCTGAAGACACATTTCAGTGGCTAAGAAGAACAGTAGGAGCTACATATGACGACTTTCAGGATAGACTGGCTCATTTAAGAGTAGGTATTTTTTTATATATTTGTGAGCTTAATGTAAACAGATATAACTATTCTATAATAAGGGGTCATCCATAAATTACGTCACAAATTTCATGATGTTTTGTCCCTCCCCCGCCCTTGTCACCGCTGGTCACATTAGTGAGACTCTCATCTCAAATTGTTTTTATATGGAAGTAGACATCATCGAACCGAGCACTTTGGCGTTAAATTTAAAACCATTAATAATAAATTCAACTTTAATTGGTTTAATGAAGAAAACAATACATTAATTAATTTATTTTTATTTTTCTGTTAAATCGCTTGTCTGAATCTTTAATTATAAGCAGTTTCTAAAAATTTGGAAAATAGCCTATTATTTTAATTAAAGAAATTACCAAACATAAAACAATTGACTATGTTAATTAAAGAAATTAACAAAACAAAAAACGATTGACTTCATTAATTAAAGAAATTAACAAAACAAAAAATGTTAATAGCATTATAATTAAATTAAAGATACAAACTTAATTATGTTGAGTCCATGGATATCTCCTTTAAATTATTTATAACTGACATAGCACCACTTTGTTCTCGTCAAGTAATAGTTTCAACACTTAGATTATAATAGTTTTTGAAATATGATGTCATGAAATTTAGGACCCCTCCCACCCCCTTGTCACACAATGTCACACTTCGTCGACCCCCTCCCTCCCCCTTAACATGTGACGTAATTTATGGATGGCCCCTAATTGTTAATTAAAAATCAATAACTTTAGAATGAAAAATGGTTTTTTATTCCAGAGACAATGTCAGCCCCATTTGGCAGAAACGGTGAAAGCATCTGTGGAAGGAATTTGTTTGAAAATATATCACTTATCTGCTGAGTATGCTCGAAAAATAAGGGAAAAACACAGCTCTCTTTTAAAGGAAAATGGAATACAGGTACAATAATTATCTCAGTTTTAGTAAGTAAAAATAGTAGATAGTTGAATAGTAGTAATTTGAATCAGATAATAATATCAAAACGTAGACCTAAATAATGATTTAGATTCTCTTGGAAATTTTATAAATCATCAGATAAATTACAACAAATAGTGTAAAAATGTTTATCTAAAATTAATTTATAATCACTGGAAGAATAATAATTTATCAATCAAATCACCTAAATCTCAATGATTTTAATGCAATAAATAGGGACTCAAAAAATAAAACTGAACTGAATTCAAATAAGTGTATGCCCATAATCCAATGTAGGATGTTCTGGGATAAGGGGAAGCTTTTTCTGACATTTCGCAGACATTGTCATAACACTAACATAAGTTAACCTTGCGACATCTATGGTAAATGAATGTCTATAAAACAGAACAAGTCCAAAACTAGCACGTACTAATTTTGATAGCCCGCTAATTTGACTCTGCACTTGATAGGCATTTTTTCATTAATTGAAGGAACTGATGCACTTAATTGGTGACAGGTCCATTAATTTTTATATCAATGTATAATAGCTGCATGAGACTTACTTTTTTAGGAACAGACCTTATTTATATTCACTCTGTAGTAAAAAGTGATCCATCTAGATACAACATTAATTTGATGATTAATAATTAGAGACCATTTTAATTACTATGATAACTGACATATTTCTTGGATATAGATATTATAATTAGGGTATTAATGTATATAAATTATTATTATTAATGTTGTCACACAATGACTAAAGTGTTACAATTGAGAATCCTTTACAATGCAGATTAGTGATAAATCTAAACTTAGGAGCACAGAAAATATTGTTTCAAGTATATCTGTTTAACAAATATCGAAACAGAAGTTTATTTTTTCTGTTTATTTTAAAGGACTTTAGCAATACAATTTTATAAGGACATGACCAGGATAGGATATTAAGTTAAATTAATCAATAAACCTATGTTTTTGCTGTAAATTTGTAAATCAAAAAGGCTTTTTTGGAGACGGCCTCTGATAGTATGCAATGGAAAATGACAATATCTTGTTAATTTGTTTTGAAGTCTGCAAATAATTTCTCTCTTACATCCTGATTCTTAACACATCAACAAATGTTGGACAGCATCAATCATAATATTACTTTTTTGTGTAAATAAAAATGTGGAGTTCAATTAAAAATACTAAGATTTTCTTTTTGTTTCATAGGAACTACCTGCACCCCTACAGCAGGCAGCACTCAGAAAGGTGTGGTGCTATCCCATACAGTTTGCTGTACCAGCCCCCAGACCACCTCTTATCGAGCATTTCCTTGACCGTGACCAGGCACTGGTGCGGTATCTGGGTGAAACCCAGGTTCTTAATGCAACGTACCTCCAGAAATTGGTATGACCTTTTTATTTAAATTATACACTAAGTATTAGTTTTATTTTTTTATATAAGTACTAAGTACCTACAACTTCTATGCTATTTCATCAGTTCTTTATCAAAGAAATCAAATTAGATATAGATAGATAATTAGAATTAGAATGATAGTATACCTCTGAATGTAGCTAACAACCTCTTAAAGGTTTCCTGATATTGTTACATTACACTCCCCTGAGAGAGTTAGGGGAGTGTAGCGCCAGCTTTAGAGAAAGAATAGATATGTAATAATTTGGAAGAAAAGAAAAAGAACTCTAAGGACTCTAAAAAAGGATAGAAATATGGTAAAAAATACAGTAATTTATTGAGTACAAGCCCTAATACAAAAGAGGGGAGAGAGAGAGAAACTTAAAAACTAAAAGAGTCAACCACACTCGTGAAATAACGGACACGCGAGTGCGCGTCCGTTATTTCACAGGAGCCGGTACGCTTAGGAGTAGCAGCGCGCCCAGGAGTAGCGGCGCGCTCAAGAGGAGCAGCGCACTGCAGGAGTGGAGGCGCGCTCGGAGGTAGCGGCGCACTCACAGTCAGCGGCGCACCAGCGCACCACCCAAGCTAAGGTGACAGTATGCCGCAGGAGAACCGGAGATCGGAGACACAGCACGAAGATATGTTTTGCGCGGAATATATTTAGGCAGGGCCTTCTCGAGTCCCGGGCCTATGCCAAAGGCCCGGGAACGGCCAGAACTACAGTTTGTAGTTTGCCAGCGAAACTCGACGACTGGATCCAGATGCCAGGCGCTAAGGGTTTTTATACCAAATTGCCTGACATTCACTTTTGAAATGCGAAAGAATAAAAAGAAATTAATAGAACGATCCAAAACAAAAGAAACATTATTGAATTTTGAAGAAGACGTTTATGGTCTCTCTCGGCAGGCACATACTAAAGAGATTAAACATTAAACGTGATAAAACTATTTATAAGTAGAGAAAAAGTTATGTTCCAGAAGTGATGTGAAGTCAATATGAAAAATCAATAGTTTAAACAATAAGAAATTATAAGTAAATATTTCATATGGAAATGAGTAAAACTATATGAGAGGTATAATAAATAAACATAGAAAAAGAAGCGCCGTGAAGCGGCGAGAGAAAAGATACCGAGAAAGTACCATAAACATAGAATTTTGAAAAGTTAAAAGCCGAAAAGAGTTTTAATAATACAAAACTTAAAAGTTACTTATCTAGCTTAAAACTAAGTTTGGAGCGGCAGACAGACACGCCACAACATGACAGTGGAGATCCCATGAGAGTAGTAAAAACTTTTCACACTGAAATAACAGAATTCCTGTGGATAATTATGTTCTGTACCCAAAATTTATATAATCTCATAAAAAAATTTTTTTTTCTTCAAGATAAAGAGTAATATTTTACTGATACACGTCATTAGACGGTAGACGTCATCGAACCGAGCGTTTATGGCGGTAAATTCAAAACTATTAAAAATAAATTCAACTTTAATTGGTCTAATAAAGAAAAAAATACATTAATTGAAAAAAATAAATAAATGAAAATAAATAAATAATTTGATTTATGTTTTTATTTGGAAAATACCCTATTATATTAATTAAAGAAATTAACAAAATAAAAAATATAAATAGCATTATACTTAAATTAAAGATACAAACTTAATAATGTTGAGTCCATGGACATTGAACCATCTTCTTTATATTATTTATAACTGGCATAGCACCACTTTGTTCTCGTTTGGGTTGTTAATGTTTTCGTAAAGTAATAGTTTCAACACATAGATTATAATAGTTTTTGAAATGTGATGTCACGAAATTTAGGACCCCGCCTACACCCTTGTCACACGATGTCACACTTCGTTGACACCCTCCCTCCCCATTAACGTGTGACGTAATTTATGGATGGCCCCTTACCCCTTTAGGAGTTTAATTTCAAAATATTCTGATGAAATGGGATGGATAATTTCATATGACAAAATGTACACAGGTGTTATGTTTCTTTATAGGAATGTTTATACCGGTACAGTTGCTTTGACGACAAGAAGTTTGAGCAGTTCCTCTCTCGTGTGTGGTGTTTGATGCGGCGGTACGCGGCGTGGGTGGGCGCGGGCGGCGAGGCGCATCTCACGCAGATGGCGCTGCCGATCCCTGTGCTGGAGTGCTTGCACCGATGTTTTGGAGTCACGTTCGAGTGTTTCGCGAGCCCTCTCGATTGCTACTTTCGTCAATATTGTTCGGCGTTCGCGGATACTGATTCATATTTCGGGTCTCGCGGGTGAGTACTGTATTTTATTGTTAATGAAACAACCAATTTTTCTTTTCATTTCCAAAGGTTCAATATGTGCCACGTCAATGTGTGCATCTTACCTAATGTATCGTGGCCGAGTGGTTTATACGCCGGGTTTCATGGTGTCGCCGACTCGAAAGGTCCCGGGTTCGAATCCCGGTGGGGGCGGATGTTTGTGTGATGAACACGAGCATTTGTACTCCAGTCATGGATGTTTAATATGTATTTCTATATATACTTATATATGTACTGTATATGTATTCTATCCGTTACCCTGGCATACCATAACACAAGCCTTACAATGCTTACTTTGGGGCTAGGCTAATTGGTGTGAGTGTTAGAAATATTTATTTATTATTATTTATTAAATAAGCCAAATGGGTCAAATCATTCTGGAGTGATGCTTTTCCTATGTAACTTTATCTCGTGATATAAGTATGTATCAAGCATTAGGTTTTAAATGAATATAGGCCGTTCCTCGAGTTACGTCCCGTGGCGGGGTCCCTGGTTGCGCACCCGCCATACTGCGAGGAGCTGCTGGAGGCGGCGTTGCGGCACATGGAGCGCCTGCTGCAGGAGTCTGCCGAGCCGCTAAGCTTCGTGGTGGTGCTGCCCGAGTGGCCTGACCGCGCCACGCACGCGCTGCACAAACTCCAGGCCAGCCACTTCAAGCGGAAACAGGTGGGTGCTGCTAGTAGTATCCTTAGTATGAGTTGGAGCTCACGAAAACTATCATAGTTTTCGAAATTGTAAATTATGTTTCCTTGTCCATTTTGGTGAAAAGTATCCAAATATACTTAAAATTTAAGACGCAAATGATTTAATGATAGAATTTATATACTGATTATTTGTATTGACACGAAAACAATAAAATCAGTACCCTTAGTACGAGTGCGTTTTCGTAATTGTAAAACTCCTACTAAGGGTACAGGGGTCGGCCGAGCCGCTCAGTTTCGCCGCTAGCCGAGTGACTACACACAGTGTCCACTGTGGTAGTACAGCGCGCTTCAAACTTCGAGGCGGTTGAGAAGTTAGCGCAAGCCGCGGCGCAGCGTTGTAAACGAACTGTAGCGTGATGTAGGTATGCCCGGGATCTCACTGAACTGTAAGTTGAAACCTCCGCGTAGTTGCGCTCGCCGCTTATTTCCTAACTGACATAAAGTTTAACAGCCACTTCAAGCGGAAGAAACAAGTAGGAGCGCCGCTCATGTCCACTATGTGTAATACGGCGCGAATCAAACTTAACGGCAGTTGTAAAGTTAGAATAAGTCACGGCGCAGTAAAAATGTATGCCCGCTTGTTTTCACCACAGACATAGAAAGAATGGACTGAGCATTCTTTAACCAGCTGAGAGATGGATTAGGATGCCAACTACTATCCGCTCGATCGTTTTGTCTCTGCCACACTTTAGCCGGTTGGTTGTACGATATCGCTTTCTCTCATTCTAGTGAGTGATCAGCTTCATACAAATATTGCTAAGTCCACGTCTATGTCTATGGGTGCGGCCAGAGTGCACTCAGATTCAGATTCAAATTCTGAAAACAAGCGCGAGAAATAAACAGTGTAGTCTAAGCAGGTTGCCTGCTTTTTCTCGCGCTTTGTTTTCTGAGTCTGAATCAGGAGTGCACTCTGGCCGTACCCTTCGACTACACTGTTTATTTCTCGCGCTTGTTTTCGGAATCTGAATCTGAATCTGAGTGCACTCTGGCCGCACCCTATGGGTTTCACTGACAGAAACCTGCGCAAAGTTGTGCTCGTTGCTTACTTCACTACCGACCGTTTGAATCGAACTATACGACGCTGCACCGTTTCGCGGCTACGGCGCCGCACTAATGAAGGTTTTCTAAAACGATGGGCACCAGGTGTCAGCACTGACACGAAAGGTCTACTCATCCGTCAAATCGTGTATATCTTCATAGTCTATAGATCTTTTTCAAATACTCGTTCGATTAGCTGGTGCCACAAACTTCATACAAAAGACCTCTCGTCTTATTAAATTATTTTACCTATAAACAAGAAATAAAACTGAGAATAAGGGCTTAAATGCATTTAAATCTTTTCCAGGTGGTCATTCCAGCATTCGAACATGAATATCGACATGGATTTCAACACGTACTTCCAAAGTAAGTTATTATTGTTTATAACTATTGGACTCCACTGGCACCGTCAATATATATATATATAAAAGAAGCAAAACCCGAAAAAGTGATATGATAAAAGAAGACAAAGCGACAGGGTGGGTATAGCCCGTCTATATTGTTTTTCTTCTCTATCTAAATGGTTATCAATTTTATGCGAGTGTCACTCAGTCCATCCATTCTTTCTGTTAAGGTGAATCCGAATTTTGTGATCATGTTCAAAAATGTAATGTAAAAATCCATTCCGCGGTTGCATGTGCAGTTAATTACCACATTTGTACGGGTACCAATTCTCGCACATATACTTTGCTTTTTTATTTGCCGCAACTCGCGTAAAATGTGAAAAAAGGATGATGACGGAGTCTTAGTCTTAGTAGTACGGCGGGCTGTTTCCGCAACTCGACACCTAGTGCCTATTTTGCGTGGGGATTGGCATCAGTCCTGCCATCCCAGCTCCTCCAGAAAGCTCAGCAGTCCCCGAATGTTGCTGCAGGCCTCTACTATTGTCTTCGGGCTTCCCATTAGAGAAGTCCTTTGTCTTGCAACGCCCCTGCACTCCAGTAGGACATGGGCGCTCGTCTCATCCGCCTCCAGGCAGGCTCTGCACAGAGGGCTGTCAGAAATACCTATATTACAAAGGTGTTTGTTGAAGTAGCCGTGACCCGTGAGTATACCCACGATTTGTTTCAGGGCTTGTCTAGGTAGTCTGATTAATTTACGTGTTAGCTGCAGGTTTACCTTAGGAACGGCTTCCCTGGCTTGCCTGCAGTCCGTGAGTTTTGACCAGTAATCGTCGTGTTATCGTTGAGAGCCCTCCCTTATCCAGGTTCGCAGCTGCCGATAGGGTATGGGTATAATTGGCTCCGTACCAATGGCCGTCCTGCTAGACCCCTCCCTGGCTAAGCAGTCCGCCGCATCGTTACCCCTTGAGCCGCTGTGTCCTTTAATCCACTGTAAGGTCAATCTATTGTCGTTAGCAATATTAGTCAACTTACTGTGGCATTCGTAAATTACCTAAGCCTGATGTCATTATATTGTTGTCCAGTGCCTGTAGGACAGAAGCGCTGTCAGAGAGAATACGAATATGTTTTCCTCTTACCCCGCGACATTCTATCGCCTCAGCAGCTCTTGATGATGATGATGACGGAGTAAAGTAAACGTAATTCAATAAAAAAATTGTAAACTTTTTTTTTGTTTCATCAAACAACCGTTCATGAGGGCCGCGGTAGCATAATTGGTCAGTGCATTCGCCCGGATTGCGAAGGGTGCGGGTTCGAGTCCCGTCTGCTGCCTGGTCCGCGTGGAATATTTTCTAGTTATATTTTCTTTAGATTTAAACATCAAGCAGTTACATGCTTTAAAAATAATAAAAATTATAACTATAATTGCTATTTCTTCTTTCAAATGTTTAATACTTGTAAAAGTATTCATTTGACATTGTGGGTTTACCTATATTGCGAAGAGATGGCGCTGCCTTGCAGCTTAAGAATAGCTAGAAGGAATTTCGACGCGGTCCGTGAGGGCCGCGGTAGCATAATTGGTCAGTGCATTCGCCCGGATTGCGAAGGGTGCGGGTTCGAGTCCCGTCTGCTGCCTGGTCCGCGTGGAATTTTTTCTAGTTATATTTTCTTTAGATTTAAACATCAAGCAGTTACATGCTTTAAAAATAATAAAAATTACAACCGTTCATTTTTAAAGAGAACTCGCGTCATAGTTTTGAATTGGAGGCTTATGACATCACTTCTAAGTAAAAACGTGACGTCATGCGACATATCCAATCAATATATCTCTGTTATGTATTTATTACCTATGCGTCATCCAGGGAACTACCCTTGATGCCACATTAGAAGATGAAGAGTAGATGTAGAAAGAAAAGTTAGTTATCGTCCTTATTGTTGTTCATTGTGTCATTAAGGGACGTCAGTGCGTCATCAATTTTAACGATTGAACCCTTGTCCGGTGTCAGGAACGAGGTATACTTCCGCTGGGGCGGCGGCACGGTGGTGGTGTGGCTCCAGAACGCGGCCGGATTCGCGCGCTGGGGGCCCACCGAGGAGCGCGTGGAGGCATTGCTGGACGCCTGGCGCCCGCGCGCCAAGCGGCCCGACCCCGAGCCCGCGCCCACTGGCCCCGCTGCCCCTGGCCCCACGCCGGCCTCGGCGCCTGCCACGCCCAACCCAGCCACTACGCCTGCGCATGACAACGACGCGAGTCCTACGCCTGTGACTGCAGTACATCCTGCGCCCGCGCCGGATAAACACTGACACGGCCCTAATGCCGACCAGGTATGTAACATGATGCCCACGCACTCGGGGCCCAGGGTGCCTACCTTCGCGCCGGTTTCTGCGCCTGCCACGCCCAACTCAGCCACTACGCCTGCGCATGACAACGACGCGAGTCCTACGCCTGTGACTGCAGTACATCCTGCGCCCGCGCCGGATAAACACTGACACGGCCCTACTGCCGACCAGGTATGTAACATGACGCCCGCATGCCAAGCGGACCGACCCCGAGCCCGGACACTCGGGGCCCAGGGCGCGTGCCCTCGCGTGGTTTCTGCGCATACCACACTCAACTTTGCTACCACGCCTGCGCATGACAACGACACGAGTTCTACGCCTGTGACTGCAGAACCTCCCGCGCCTGCGCCGGATAAACAGTGACATATCCCCGTTGCCGACCAGGAACGTAACTGTACAAATTGTGCTACCACCACCACCCCTACCTCCGCGCCTGCCACGTGCAACCCTGCTACCACGCCTGCGCATGACATCGACGCGAGTCCTACGCTACTACTAGGCGCACATGTAAGATTCCTGATTCGGAAACCTGAATGCACGTCCTTACAATCAGAAAGTTCAACGAGGCGCACGCTCTTCTGTTTTTTTTTCAGAACGGAAAAATCCCAAACGGTCTCTTCGGACTCATAAGTAATAAAAAAACGAGTGTGCTTATTTATGTGTGTGTTCAATATATACATGTATGTACGTCATATACATAATTCATTTAGCTGAAAGAGAAAGAAAATGTGCGCGCGCTCTGCTTTCTACCACACGCTTTTCGCAACGCATTCGCCAGCTTACCCCCCAAATGAAGCGATCGTAAAGAAGTTTCACTTCAAAAAACTGAAACGTCTGTGCTAGGGTCACGGAATTCCGAATCAGGAAACCGTAGGTGTGCGCCCAGTATAAGACTGCGGTACTATCCGCGCCCGCGCCCGACAATCACTTTCGTGACTCCGCTGCCGACCAGGTATGTAGACAGGCCCGACCCCGAGCCCACTGGATCCACCACTCCTTCTACTACCACTACGGCTACCACGTCCGCGTATGGCAACGATGCAAGCACTACGCCGTCATTGACTACAGCTCCGCCTGCTCTACCTTTGCCGCGCGGGTGACCAGTTACTTCACAAAACAACCTCTTTACTTGTTACTGTCACGCTCAGAGGCCATATTCATCATCAACTTGTTAATGTCCCCCCCACTTCTGGGGCACAGGCCTTACCTATGGATGGAATAGGGAGATTGGATTATGACTCACCACGCGAGCCCAGTGCGGATTGGTGGGTTCTAACGACCGCAGATGCAGCCGAGACCAACGGCTTAACGTGCCTTCCGAAGTACGGAGGAGCTTGAGATAGTAAATTTTTGGTCACCCATCCAATGACCGACCACAGCGAAAGTTGCTTAACTTCAACGATCGCAGCCGAACGCGCTAACCACTTGCGCCATCGAGCTCCTCCCCGCGGCCATATTATGAACTCTTATTCCAATACATTGACATATTTATATTGGTACCGTGAAAATAAGATTTAATCAATCTTAATTTCTTTTCATAAAGTTATTCTCTAAAATGATATCAAACTTAATATTTTGAAATACTAACATTACATTTGCTTGACAGTTCACTTGTTGTGGTCAAGCCCATTCTAATAAACAGTATCCTCGAACATCTCATGGTCCCAACAAACCAACCTAAGTCAACTACGCTTATATACAGGTAGACTACAGGCGCGGATCCAGTTCACTATAAAGTGTTGGCCACTTCGACTTGAAAATCATCTCCACAGACCCGTATAATCTGTGGCGGCATCAGCTGATACACTCCTGCAGTTATGTATATTTAGATATCACTACCGAGCTTTGAATTCAATGCCGAAGCACTATTAAATTGACAGACCGAAAGCGTATTTAGGTTTTTTTTATATCAAGATTCATAATGCTGGCCTTATGTCTTGTTGAGTATGGGGAATTTATTTCTGTCTGTATGATGTACATAAGAGTGTTTATCTTTTTTCTCTTCTAACCTCATCATCAACCTATGGACGTCTACTGCTGGACATAGGCTTTCCATTTTCTCTTTAGGGGTCTCCGCACTCCGCGATTTTATGCTTTTTGCGTCAATTGATACCCCTCGACTCGTTCCAAGTCTTCAGTTCCCCTGTACCGATCCGATATAGCGTTACCCAGTATGATACCAAATTCGATACCCATAATGTTCATCTGTTCGCCGAAATATATGTTCTGTATATTCTCACTTCGGCGACACTTCGCTATGTCCTTTAGTTTTTCTACGCATCTACAATACTACGCATGTTTCCTTTTCGGTTACGTAGAGAAAGTCCGAGCAATCTTCTCTCAGCTCGCTGTGCATCTCTTAACTTTCTTAAAAGCTGCTTAGTTAGCGATCCATGTCTCTAATTCGTTTGTCATCACTGGCAACACGCACTGAAGCCCTTGGGATTTAGGCACGGGCTAATCTACACTGGCTACGTTTGTAAAACGTTGCCTAGTCAAACGAGATACGACTGTTTAAATCATTCTTGAAACCATTATCCGACTGGTGTATTCGTTGGGAGTGAAGTGTACTGTGCCCTTCGATAATCTGAAGTACAGCCTTCTCAATGCAGTAAGCATGACGTGTATGTGGACTAGAACAAAAAAGTTGGACTAGACTTGATTTCAGTCTTATTAATATTCTTTTGAAAGGCTTGCGACGTAAATATCTCTTAAGACGCTTTCTCTCTGTAAGGTCATCGAGGGTTGTGTTGAAATCCTCTTGTTTCTGTTGTACTGTCATATAACAACTTTCACGTTCACAATAAGACACAATAACAATATAAAATACATAAAATAATAATAAAACAATTAAAAAAATGGTGCTTCGGTATTTGAATAATAGCTCCCTGGAGAGGTTAGTAAACCCCAAGCCAGTGTTATACAAGGTCTTTTCATAATTAAGATGTGCCCATTAACAGGACCTCATGGTGATCAATTTTTGTGGTCAAATAATTTGTATAGCCTGTTATATAATCCAATGAACCAAAAACTCAATACTTTGTAATTGTAAAAAAAATATACATGAAGCCTTATGGGTCTCCTACGCTGTATCACAAAATAGACATAACAGAAGGTAATCTAATGTATGTACTTCACTTTACATATCTACACACGGCGGTCGCGCTAGGATTGTCGACATTGGGATATGCCATAGATAGAGGTTTAAGAATAGAGTGGAGAATGCGGCTCTAAAAATATCCGTCTAGTAGAAAGAGAAAGAAGATGAGAGACCGCTAGCTATATCTCTCTCTCTCATGTGACGCATGGCATCCAATGGCATCACATCGAAATAGTAAGATGCTTACGGTTGCCAATGCGCATGCGCGATTAGAGAGAGAAAGCTAGCGGTCTCTCATCTTCTTTCTCTTTCTATTACAGGGTCACTTACGCTTGTAGTAGAGTCTTTATGTCCCCTACTCTATTCTTATAACTCTATGGGTTATGCATAAAAAAGTATCGCAGTAGTGGCACTCGTATCTAGTTTTTTTTTGTAGTGTACCTACATAATATAAATTGTTATTTTATATATAATTTAATATATTTTTGATCTATAATTTATGTTAATAGTTAAAATTAAAAACCCCGCGAGCTAACGTTACCCAGCTCGGAGGAAGATCCTCCCCTTTGGCCTTCCTACAGTTTGATTCATTGTCGAGAATGAAACAGAAAGAACAGAAATATAAACCAATAATACATAAAATATTTCAAAAGACAATGTTAAAATTGGCCAAACACCAATTTGGCATTTATGATAATTCTTAATATATTTTTTGGGATAATTATCAGTATTTAGATTGTGATGGACACTTCCAGTTAAGTAAGCTAAATTAAAAAGTTAAAAAATAATCTGAGACAATAAATACCATTTTATGTGTATATGTGACAGCGCTGCAAACAAAACACTCTTTCTTCCTAATGCTGGCACTTCACTTGGCTATTCGTATTTGCTATTTTAAAACATGACATCAGTCTGTCCTTTTCATTCCTTGTTAAGCATGACAAGGACAAACTGTTGTCAAGTGAAGGGCCGCCATAAAACTCGATACACTGTGGTTGTGGTGCAAGCAGGCAGTTTGCATTCGTAGTAATCTGTGGCATTCGTGCATTCCAAAGAGTAGTATTTTATACAGGAAAGTGTATTCTCGTTTCGGATTACCTGTTGTGTGTGTATATTTGTGATTGTTTTTCCTTTAATTTAACTATTTCGGCTATCTAATATGCCATGGATGTTACCAAAGAGCAGAGACCTTATTACCAAGTGCTAGTGAACCTGTGCCACAACATCCCGAGAGAATCATACTGGCAAATTATTCAAGAACACCTGATACACGTTCACGCTGCATATTTACACACAGTGCTGCCATATCTACCAACTTTTTGGTAGATCTACCAATTTTCACTTCAGTCTACCTATCTTCCACCCTAGACCTAAAAACTACCTATTTTTTAATTAGTTTGACATATCACCACTTTGAATTATTTTTATATCGACTAGCGACGTTGCGATGTACTGCGTGAGTCATGCAACGATGCGTCAAGCATACATAGAGTCCAGGCCCTTAACCACAAAAAAAAAGCAACAGTTCGCCATGAATTCGGCGTTCGCACCATTTCGCGCCCATATTTTACTATTCCTACTATGGCCTATTCCCGGTTGGTTTGTTGCGGAATTAATGTTGAATCTTTGCTCCTGTTTTATTGTAAAAACTAATTAACTGCGTATTAACGGTGCTGATTGCTGTTTGTTCTATGTTGCGTGCATTTATTTATATAATGGATTCTGACAGCAGCGAAAGCGATGCACATAGTTCTAGGTTAGGAACTTCGCCACGAAAACCTAGAAAAAGGCACTATGACCAAAAATATTCGAAATTATGGGAGAAAGACAAGGAATTTGCAGGTTGGCTTTAAGAAATTACTAAGGGTGACGGATATTTTTATTGCAAATCATGTAGGTGTGATTTGAAGTGTGCTCTGCATTGCATTGCATGCATTTTTAATCTTAAAAAATCTTCTAAATTGAGGTGGTAGATCTACCAATTTTGCATTTTACATTCTACCAACATTTGGCACATAATCTAATAATTTTCTAAAATTCGGGTTGGTAGCACTGTTTACACAATATACATGTGATATACAAATAAATACCATATACGATATGATACAATTATGTGAAAAATAGTCAATGAATAAGAAGCAAAACTACAGTTTTTATTTTATTCATGATTCCTACCTATCCAAGGTTTTCCTAATAGTTATTCTTTCAAATCGTACCGAATAAAATCAATTAGTTGTAATATTAATTCACTTCATACTAAGTTCATAGGTTGACCTATGTTTCATTGAATATTAAACATAACCTCAAAAAACATTTAGTTTTCCTAATAATTTAAGTTCTCAGAAGTGTCCGTCAATAATCTTTGTTTTTACAGTCATTTACTTACGATTTCGAACCTAGAAAATAATATTTCATGATTGTTGGTTCTTAGGCTAACTATGTATGGACGCTGAACAATGTCCTTTAATGTTCTTGTTATATTACAAATTAAATAAATGGCAATTCACCGCTTAATGTTGAATTCAAACAACCGTCTACTGAAAAGATATATGAACTTGTTATTTCTTCCTCCATTTTTGCACAAAAAAGTTCACTGACCCGTGTCTCAAGCATAGAGATATAACAATAGGGTAGGGGAGATATAGACTCTATAAAGATATAGTGGAAGTGTCCCTCTAATAGAAAGAGAAAGAAGATGAGAGACCGCTAGATTTTTCTCTCTAATCGCGCATGCGCATTGGTAACCGTAAGCATCTTGCTATTTCGATGTGATGCTATTGGATGCCATGCGTCACAAGAGAGAGACATAGCTGTCGGTCTCTCATCTTCTTTCTCTTTCTACTAGACGGACACTTTTAGAGCCGCCTTCCACACTCTATTCTTATACCTCTATGGTCTCAAGCGGGTGGAACGCGGGTTCGTAGTGGTCAGAACTGGTTCGGAGCGGTGTCTATGTGTGTGTTGCTCGAGCGCACTTTATATTGAGATTACCTTCTGTTCTCTACTCTGTTGCTGTATTCTGTTAGCACTAACATTTCACAGAAAAGGGGAGTGACTTAACAAGTACCACCCGCGTTCGTATGATCCGAATCTATCATTAATTTTTATTTTTAGGTTTGTACGAGTATTTATAACAAAAAGCAATATCGCTACAGGCGCATTGATATCATAAAATGTTAGTTCTAACAAAAACAAGTCACAGGAGTAATGCGCGGTCCAACTCTGTTAAAGATAGAGTAAGAAATTCAGTTAGAACAATTAAATAAAACTTTTTTACTGTGCCGTTGTGTGAGTGAGACGTCATTTTTAAGACATACAGTAAAATTAGTAAAATATAGCTTTACTAACACTACGCGCGACACATCTGACGTTTTAACGTCGCACGACCACTTTGTACAAATCTTATATTCGGGGAATCTAAAATGCCGCCAATCACCTTATAACTTTTAATCATTAACGTAGTAACTTAATTGTAGCTACACAGTAAAATATTTTCCTTGCCAATCAGGGAGGCCCCTCAGATTTGAACTACACAAGGTCGGTGTGATAGTCTTACAGAGCACCCCCACTAGTGTCCACATTAATCAATTTTTATTTGAAATCGAATTCTCCTTTGGCGGTGTGCAGGGAGCCGCGTTTTTATTGGACACATCAACATGACGTGCAAATTGTTATCGCGAGGCTTACAGGCCTGCGCTGCGAAAATGCAACGCTTGTAGTATTATACATAAGCTTGGCATAAGCGGGAGCCTTTAGATGCTGTCTGTAGTGGTGGTGCCTTGTGGATAGTGTCTATAAAAGCCCATTTCCATTATGGTGAACTATTCAGGCTGATAGTATGTGCCCCAGTGGTGGGGGACATTGATAGACTGATGATAACATGTTTTGTAATGTAAACACATTCGTTAGGATGAATAAATTAATGTATTTTATTTTTTATAGGTAGATACAATAATTATGTGTTGTATTTGTCAAATATTTAGGCGGCATTTAGGATATGTTCAACTGGTATGGTCAATTCATACTGGCGCAGAGTCAGAGCGTCATTCAGAAACGTAACATAAGTATTCCACCCCTATCCTAATATTCCTTCTAGGCTGATAAATCTGCGTTGGTCGCCCGCAGACGCGTTAATTCCGTCGAATGCGCGAGTCTTCTCTTTATTTTGGATGGAATATGTGTATTACTATGCGGAGATAAGGGTAAGTTTGCTTTGTTACGTTTCTGATTGACGCTTCGACTGCGCTAGTATCAATTGACCATCAAAATCAAAAACTGAACTAAAATTCAAATGCCTTTGGTAAACAAATTTTCATTCTCAAAGGCTCCTTCCTCCTTTTGTTGCTCTACTCTACAGTCTGTTTGTTACCGACCAAACTGGTTACTTTGCACTGTTTTACTTACATAATTAATGGATTTTATCCGACATTAAAAGGTTACTTGACTTTACTGCATTAACTTGATAATTTAAACATTTCCTAGAGATCCCTTTTTTATTGCCTTCGATCAAAGGCAGACGAGCGGCGGGCCCCCTGATGTTAAGTGTTCATCGTCGCCCATGTCCTAAAACCATGACCCAATAGGTATCTTCTGTAAATAGTTATATTTTGATAGTTCTACTTTTGTAGTATTAAAATCTTTCCAGGTAAATAGAAAAAGTTGCCTGTCTCAATCCTGGTAATAAATAAACCATCCAAATATGATCAGAAATTTATGTGCGATTCAGTATAAAATATAAAAGCTTTAACATTTATTACATTACCAGCACCTGACTGTACATCAACTGACTTTTTTCCATACTTTTGAATTATTTGTTTGATAGATTAGTGTATTATTAAATTGTTCCTAGCAACATTTTATGAATAGGGATGATAACCGACTTATTTTTCCTCGTCTAGACTATCAAGAAGTTTTGGACATTGACATGCAATATGACGTCACGTCTTGGTACAAGTTTAATTACATGTGACTTCACGAGCCCTCACTGCACTGCCAAACTTTGACAAGCGTTATCTTTGTAATTTTTTGATTGACTATAGAAAAAAATAATTGTCCATTTTTTTATAATGTAACAGACTAAATAGAATTTAATTTACTTTTCCCCGTCATCATCCCTATACTGGAATAAGTTTACATTATTATTATTGGTATTTCGGCTATTGTAAATCTGAAAATTGGGCTGACCTTTTTATATGTTTGTTTTTTAAGAATTATATTTTGTATTTTTTTTAAGAAAACTAGGGAATGTACTTTCAATATATATCTTGCTTTTTCATTATTTGAATTGTGAGAAATCTAATCTATATATAATGTTATCAATATGAATTATGATTTTACCAATATCGTTGTATAAAAAAAACTATTTATTTAACATGTTCAGTAGCAATATGTGAATTGATAGTGTTAAAATTGTGCTATGAAATAGGTATACCTACCTATCTATAGCTCGTTCTAAAACTACCGTTTCCAGAAAACTTTTGGAAAGCCAGGAAATGAAAGGTAAAATGAACTAAGCATTCTCGTCAAAAGTTGTCTGTCAAATTATCAAATAATATTATTTTTATGTTTTGTACTATTTTTTGATGCGTTAGTTTTGCTTCTGCAGATAGAAATATATTTATCGTCAAGTTCAATTTACGATTCAGCAGTATAAATACAATTTACTGTAACTTATTTTAATTATCGTAAAAATCAGTCGACAATGACATGTCTCACGGCTGTCGCTATTTTGAATGAACTACTTAAATATTTTTTTATTTATTGTTATGAATATGTAAAATAAAAAAATATATCACAAAACTTTTTCTAAATCATCTTGTTACTTGACACATTTTATTTTCTCTACCAAAGATGATACTGACTCCGTAGCATGAGCACCACAATTTACATTATATTACGTTTTTAATCGCGTCTAACTGTCAAACTCCATAGTAATTTGACATTTGAGCGTATATATCATATCGCGGTGCTCATCCTAGGGGGACTGAAATGCATTTTTTCATAACATCTAGAGCGATACATTTTTAACGTGTTTGTACATAAACTCGCGCAAGTGTAATCTAGGTTCTCGAAATGGATTCGAACGTCCAGTGGTAGCCGTATTATATGAACTGCTGATAAATCAATAATATAAAACTTCATGATAATACGACTATGACGCAGCTTTTGACCTGCCCGTTCCGCTATGCAACGCGAGGCTGGGTTGGTCATCGTGTAAATATATACGTAGATAAGTATTTAGTGTATACTTTATTTTTATGACTTTTTTTGGAGTCGTTTTTTCTGTTGTATAGATCGATAAAGATTTATTATGTTTTTGATGTTCGTCATTATATTTTCTGAGAAAAGAGGTTGTTTTATTTAATTTCTGATTAAGGAGTCGTCCACTTTATAACCCCCTCCCCCCTCGTGATATGTGGTGAGGTTTTAGTATTGCAGATTAGTGATAAATCTAAACTTAGTTTAGGCTTTATTCAGTCTAGGCTTAGGTTACAAGCACTTGAGAATATCGAAAAGCTACGCCATCGATTCGCAAATCTACGGCGGGAGACCTTGTACTGAGAAGAACCGGCAAAAAACTCGGCAAGGGCTGTATTTTTCTCCCTGTATTATATACAGTCGTCAAATTGAAAAATGACTTCAATATGAGATAACTCAAGAAGTCACTTTCCAGAAAATATGACTATTTAAGAGGTCTATAAAAATCTATTTTATGTCATTTTTTTTCTTTTTCTCAATCAGGAGTTCTTATGCCACATAGGCGCCAACTGATGACATTAATTTTCCCAAACACCCTCATTCAAATCAATATTTTTTCAAGTAATGATTTTTTCATTGCCCTGTCTTTACTTGTTTAAGTCTACGTAGATATTTTTTCAAGAGACGGGAAAAGAGCGTTACCCCACCAAGCACTCCCTGAACAGCGCAAGCCATGCTCATCACAGTATTTTTTTCTAGCACTGGTCCCTTTCCCATAAGCAACCTTGGCAATGACCGGTTTGGTACTGCTCACATGTCTCGCCTGAAAACTCAAATTTGTTATGTAACGAAAACGTAACAATTATGAAAAAACCGGATAAGTGCGAGTTGGACTCGCCCACGGGTTCCGTACTTTGTAAGTAAGTAACATATACGAGCGTAACTCTATTTTTTTACATAAATTTACTGTGATTTTTACACAGCTTCAAGAGACCATAGAAATAAGTATATGGTTAAAATTTCAACTCTATACTTCCACGCGTTCCCGATATAAAGACTTGACATACAGACAGATTTACAGCTGTTACTTTTTTTACGTTAACTTAGAAGTTTGATCATTGATGTGTGAGTAATAGCCACAGGCTGGATCTGTCTGGGAGACACTTAATCTCGGGAACGCCTGGAAGTATCCAGTTAAAAGGAGACGGTTCTTTGTATGGTGGTATAGTCAGTCTCCGGCAGACTCACATTCATCATCATCATCAGCCTATTAATGTCCCCACTGCTGGGGCAGAGGCCTTCCCTATGGATGGAATAGGGAGATTGGGCCATGACCCACCACGCGGGCCCAGTGCGGATTGGTGGGTGCTAACGACTGCAAATGCAGCCGGGACCAACGGCTTAACGTGCCTTCCGAAGCACGGAGGAGCTCGAGATAGTAAATTTTTGGTCACCCATCCAATGACCGACCACTGCGAAAGTTGCTTAACTTCAACGATCGCAGCCGAACGCGCTAACCACCTGCGCCATCGAGCTCCTCTCAGACTCACATTATTTATGAGGTTATCTCATGCGCTTAATTTTAAATCGTTTGCCGAAAAACAGATTTCATTTAGGGTGTGTTCCGAAACTTAAGCCAGTACGCTGGCCAGCGGTAATGACGTCAAGATTTCGACGCCATATTGCACTGGTGTGCCGCCATATTATGCTGGTGAGAATACTGTGACGTATAATAGCTGGGTGTATACGCTCTGCAGTTAGTGAAGGTCTTTTTTGTATTAAATTGATAATAATGGAATCTCAACAAACAGAAAAATTTGTTTTGAACGATGAGGGAAATAACGGGATTTACACACTTTAATTTATTATAATTTTTGGAGCACGAACGTTGCACACAAACACGAGACTGCTTGAATATAGCGCCAGTTCATGACGTCACCGCGCTGATCAGTGTATTTGGAAATTTTGGAACGAATCAACAGCATGGCGTCGATTCTTGACGTCATTAGCACTGGCCAGTATACTGGTTTATATTACGGAACACACCCTTAATCTCCGTTTTTTAATAATTATTATAATATAAAATTATATCATTATTGCTTGGCAAATTTCAAGTTTATTTATGTATTTTTAGTTACCAAAACATCAAATATATTCAAGTTATATTTTATTTTTTTAAGCATGTAACTGCTTGATGTTTATTTATCTAAAGAAAATATGACTAGAAAAATTCCACGCGGACCAGGCAGCAGACGAGACTTGAACCAGCATCCTTCGCTATCCGGGCAAATGCACTGTCCAATTATGCTACCGCGGCCCTGATGGCCGCGTTGAAAATCCTCTAGCCATTCTTAAGCCGCAAGGCAGCGCCATCTCTTCGCATTGTAGGTAACCCACAATGTCAAAATGAATACTTTTGAATCTCCTCCTTTCTGAAGTCGGTTAAAAAGTATTCTGCACATACAAAATATGTCCTTGAAAATATTTCAAATAAAATGGAAAATGCTTTTCTAAAAAAACCGGCCGAGTACGTCAGACTCGCGCACCGAGAGGGTTCCGTAAAAAGCTGTAGGTATTTTAATAATTATTAAAAAAAAACTATTATATGATAGGGTTTTCGCAATTTTAGTAAGTTACTTCGTACTAAATTTCAAGATTCTAAGTTCACGGGAAGCACCCTGTAGGTTTTGATTCCCGTGCGAGTTTCAAAAATTTGCGGCATAAACGGCTGTATCTTTTGATTCCTTTGGCTTAGAATTTTGATTTTTTTCACTGCTCCAAGGGACAGTAGACCTGAGTATTAGATATGAATTTCAGTTTGATACCTCCACGCGTTCCTAAGGAAAACGGTCTTGACAGACAGACGGACGGACAACAAAGTGATCCTATAAGGGTTCCGTTTTTTACTTTTGAGGTACGAAACGGTAAAAAGGTTTTAAATACAAAATGGAAATGGTGTTTTGTATTTTGCATTTCAAATACTGTCATGTTTAAAATGTCACATCTCTGATGACCGGTCATTGGATGGGTGAACAAAAACTTATTATCTCGACCTTTTCCGTTTCGGAAGGCACGTTAAGCAGTTGGTCCCGGCTGCATCTGCAGTCATTGGCACCCACCAATCCGCATATAGATTTATATCATTACCTGTACCTACCCTTAGCACGAACCAATATTGAATTCGAAAAGTTTGCAAGTGCGATGTCAATCGTGACGGACGTAATAATCAATTATAGGTACTAGCGGATGTCCATGCTTGGAAAATTTGGTTTCCCATACATTCCACCTCAGCTCCACTTATGTCAATTTCCCGACCGCCACATTGGTACCTATTAAAGTCGGGAAGAAACTTCACCTTAACACTGGTGTTAATGTTTGGTATGATCTGTGGCAAGGTGGGGAATGCACAAAAATTTCGTCTAATTCCGTTAAGCGGTTTAAGCGTGAAGACTGAAGAGGAAACAGACAAGCAGACCCACTTTTGCATTTATAATATTAGAACGGATAAGTTAGTAAGCAATTGCGATTTTAATGTCAAAAGCAGTATTAGTAATTACTTGATGATTTAAAATAAAAGCGCTTCAACTAAATATGATATTTTTATTTCTTAAAATTACCTACCTACCTATTTCAAGTAAAAAAGGCATAAGTTGTCAAAGAAAGAAAGAACTTAAATTTGTGTAATATTTTCATCTAGGCACTACAGATAAGGCGTGGGATGTGTGTGTATGTGTGTGCATGAAGGTATATAAAGTTGAGTGTGTGCGTCTTTATGATTGTTTTTAGGGTTTCGAAGTCAACATGGATTCTCCATATGGTTGTACTCTAAAAAAGTTACGACACTGTTTTAAACTTGAAACTCGTGTTTAACGCATCACTAACTCCTTTGTGGTAATAAGGTTACTTTCTCCATAACAGTCCGTCCTCGGGTTGGCTTAGCGACTCGAGTAACTACTACTAGTTGTTACGTAACTGTAATTTGTCACGGATATAGACATACGCGCCGACATTGGTTAAATCATAGTTTTAAATGCTTATAGGGAATCTATCGGTAAAATAAGTCACCGATTAGCAAACCAGTAAAATAATGAGGGTAACACATTTTTTTCATTTTAAGATCCGTTTGTGAAATACTTAATAAGCATCAATGTGTCATTTTTTGTTAAAAATTAAAGCATACATGGACATATAAAATATTGTAAAGTGTAAGTGTAAAATAAATATGATTTTATGCCGTTATTTCTTCAATATTATAATATAGTGTCTAATGTTGTATAAATAATAGTACGGTACCACTAGCATGAACCATTATCGAATTCGAATAGTTTGCAAACCGAAATGTCAATGTAAAATTTTGTATGGAAACTTGAACAGCAGCGGCACAAAGTACTTAACGAGAACTAAAAATCAGTACACATTTGACAATGACATTTCGGACTCTCAAACGATACGTATTCGATATTGGTTCGTGCTAGGGATACTAATCCTTCGTGCTCGAGTTTGACGCGCACTTGGCCGGTTATTTTAAAAAATCCGTACCTTGCAAATGTTTGAAATGACAATGACAGATTCTGACCCACCATATACAGTAATATTAAATTTATGAAAAATTATATATGACTTTTTTTCTCGTACTGATTTAATTATTACTTTGTAAAAGCGGCGGATACGAAATAAATATTAAAATAATTTGTATCTACTGTTTCCGTTAGGAGAAGAACGAAACCATGGCATATGCGTTTTGTTTCACGACAAACAATAAAATGCCAGTCAAGTTTTCGAAAAATATCATTCTCTTTTGACGTGACAACGTCTTAAATTAGGTTGCGGCTGGGAGTCACTTATGAAAAAGTGTAACGCTCGGTAACGTTACGATGAGTCTCTCGTGTTAAGTTTAAGTTTACATGTACAATGGTGTCAATTCTGGCGTGATTCTCTAAACTTAAAACTAAAATTAACATCAATCTCTCCTTTTCATTCCGTATAGAGAATGACAAGGATACACTGTTGTCAAATTTAAGTTTAGATTTAGAGAATAGTGTCAGAATTGACACCAATGTTTTAGTAAACAAAATATATTTCTATAGTTAAAATTTGTGCAATTCTTATTTTCATTCAATTCCTTGTTCCTATTGTGCAATTTAATTATATTC